ATGTTAACCCTAAAATCATTCTGTTTCAATATAGACACACTTGACTTTCATATTTCATGCACTCTTTCTGTGACAGTCACACGATTCCCCCTGTTCTGAATGAGACAGAGAGGGGGCTAATGTATCATTGTCATTTATATCAAACCACGTGACTCCAGATAATGCATAATTATGACAAATGACTGATGATGGCATTATGGAGCCTGAATATCATATGCATTCATATCTGTTTAATCACAGCTACAGAGAGCTAAGGTTTCTGATGGCAAGCTGCTGTTACAGCTCTCTGTGGGACCAGGAGAGTCATTTGTTGGAGGAAGATGTGCTCATGAATAAATATGTTGTCTGTGTATGTCTTCAGCCTACATAAACATATTATCATTGGTTTCTATTCTGGTCAAATAAGAATGCAAAGGCTGCGTCTGCCTGATACGTCTCCTGTCCCTTCTAATGAGCATATCAAATAAATATCTGTCTCAGTGACCTGTGAAATGAGAAAACCCAAGTCATTTTGAATGTCTGTACAACAAATTATTAAATAGAGGTGGGAACACCATGAGGAGATAATGTAGGGATAACAGTAAAGAGGGCCATTTTTCACAGTATGGAAAGGTCTTAGCAAAGTGTCATGAGTAAAAATGTAAAAAGCAAACATCTCTGCAGCTCTACAATTCTTCATCAAATATGCACATGACACAATGTGGGTGGGGTGTTCAATACAACATAGCAACCACTATAATTGACTTCCTAGTACCATTCTACACAACCGTGCCTACCCTGTGTCTAATTTACAGATTAATCAGAAAAACATTACGTCCATTCCACTGAGTTTGTTAACTGAAGTAATCAAAACTGTAATCACTTGTGCTGTGGCTCAATACAGGCGCATGCAGTCATGTCCAATAATACAAAGATCTCCATCGGCACATGCTGTCTTTTTCCAGGTCGGCCGGCCTGTGATCAATCAGGACAAAAATTAACTAGAAGAAAATTTCAATTTCACGTTTGCTGTATTGATTAGAGAATCGAGTCAATTATGGGTGACAAGAGATTGAACGGAGCAATCTATATTGTATGTGCTCAAGAGCACAGAAAACAGCCCCCGTTATTATTAACTGGTTACAATATTGGGTTTAGGAAATTACAGGGATAGTAGGGAAAGATGTTAAATGTTCAAAGAGAAAAAATAGGGCAGGTTTTAATGGTGAGCCGCAATGCTTCCCTGACCCTGACATACCAGAGTGATGACACTGATTTTTACATACCCAGCCATGTTTTCCACATGGTTCAGTTTTAATTTCTCACATTTGCTTTACTTCCTCCTTGTTTGGGTATGCTACTCCTGTATGTGTTAGAATATTAATAATAATTGCCAAATCTTTTCTTTTTGTTTTTTTAAATATTTTTTTCTTTTCTTCTGACCTCATTAAAACCCAATATGTAGAACAGCATTTACCCTTTCCTTTGATGGAGATATAAGAAATATACAAATGACCTGAAAGCATTGCTATTACAAATAAGGACATTGTTCATGTGTTATGTGTTGTGCATAAAAACAGACAAACAAATGTACAGTATGTTATCCTATATGGATGTAAGTAAACTTAATTATAAAACTCCAATAAAAGAAATTCCAGTTGACTAATTTGGGAACTGGGAAGGGCGTTGTTTAATTAACACACATCATAAATATTAAACAAATATGCAACCGATTTGGGTTTTAACTGTGTTTTACAGCTGGGGTAAGTAAAAGTAATTAGTTGATTAGTAATTAGCTGATAAAACAATGTTAAGTTCGTTTTTTGAGCTGTTTAATAGGGCCTGGGGTCTCTATGTCCTAGAGATGTCCAGGCATCAGGGTTAACTAAATAAGTTACAATTGCAACAAAAGTTAATCCATCCAATTCAGTGTCTGACGAAACAGTCCTGAAAAAAAAACAAAACACAAAAATATCCCCTGCTCAGATAATAAATAACAACAGGATGATATTCAAATCCAAAACATCAAAACAACACTTTCTACAACAATACGAATCAGTCACCCCAGGCTTCAGTTATAATCTTTTTTGCCTTTGACTAATGAGATGAGGTGGGCGAAGAGTGTGTGATGTTTGGATGGCGACAATACTTTGTGCTGTTCATTTGATGGGGCCTTATGGGGCAGTGACTGGAGTATGGCTGAGCGTAATCTTTGCCCCCCTCTTGCTTGTCCTTAATCTTATCTCATCAGATCGTCAATTCTAATCTGCTTTATGAAAGCTTATGAAACTAATCGTCGCACACAGTGACAGTGCAGAGGGTGAGACATTATGTGCTTGTGACTCAGCAAATGGGGCACGCAGGGCTGTTTGTATTTGAAGGCCAGCCTTAAGAGCCTAAATGAGATTAGGTCTTCAGAGTGGCTACTGAGTGAACTCAGAAAATCTGTGTGATTGTTTGTTCACATTTTAATAGCTTTAACATCACTAAGAAAGAAAGAAATCCAGAGGTTTAGGAGGAGTCGCACCCCTATCCTTTGCTAAATAAATAAACCTAAAGACTTAATGGGCTCGTACCAGGAGACGATAAGAGGGGCCATTTAAAGCCTTGTAATTCAGCTTCAGCTGGCCGTTTAATTAACTTGTAAATTAATGCACCATGCTGTGTAAATTGGATGGTGATAAATATTCATGTAGTTACCTAAGAAAAGGGCAAGGACGTATCACAACACAACCAGATTGGGTTTGCAAGCAGCACAGTTTATGGGCCAGTCGCCTACCTTACTGGTATTTTATAGACAGCTGATATGCATTTCTTATGCTTCATTGGTTATGCAAAAAGAAAGAGTCACTCCTGCCCCTGCTTTCACTTCACACTACCCTCACTCAGTTTCTGTTTATCTTGCCACTGTCAGGTCATGGTATTATATAAGGCGATCTGTCATGAGCTTGAAATCCAGGGACTGCCTATTCATAATTTATCTGAGTTTTAAGCAACTGTAGATACAGTAAATGTTACATAAAGCACTTTATAGCAATTTTGCAGTAGTTGTTTGTTATCAGAGAGTGTTAAAGTTCCTACCCAAGCCCATGTCTGTCATGTAAGATATCTAATATCAACAGACAGGGAACCCTTCTTATCCTACTGGGAGACATCTGAGCCTGGGAGGTTTAGGCAGCCAGCTCTGCTTCATCTATTTATATCAATATGCCTCCATAGCACTTTAGGCAAAGCTGAAGTAAACACAGTTGCTCAAATAATGAAAAGAAAACAACTGAACGGAACACAAAATGTACTTATTGCTGCCCATGGAGCAAATCTTTAAGCTAAAGGTTATTTGAGGGACGGCTCACAAGAGGTTGTCTGATTTGATTCTTTTGCCATGGTGGTAGAAGTCAAATCATTGCTTCTGTGGCATAATTGACCTGCACCGGGCATAGTAATTGACCTTGCCACTGAGGACAGGGTGTGTTGATGCTGAGCCAGCACTATGGGATCTGAAGGAAAATGGGGATATAGGATGGGGGGTTGTGGTATGTGTGTGTGTGTGTGTGTGTGTGTGTGTGTGTGTGTGTGTGTGTGTTGGGGGGCAGTTTTCAATATGTTATCATCATGAGCCATGTAACCACAGTTGTATGACTGATTATTGACAGATGATGTACATTGAGTGGCAGTGGGAATGTAGATGAATCCCTATTTAATTAGAGTTCAGGGCTAAGTTTGATTTCTATGGCCGCCTCTGTCAGGAACCACCGTGGAGCCTGTTTTCATCAGTAAAGGCGCTCCATCCCCGCGTTGGGCAGGAAGAGCTGAATCTCATTCCCCCCAGGACGTAAAAGCCAAGCTATTGGCTGTCGGCTACACACTTTCATCACCACCACCACACCGCGGTACCCAGCTGGCTCCCGCATTTCATCATCATTACGCACATTATCAGCCATTGACGCATCGAGATCAGGAGAATGTTTTGCGTCATCATGATATCAGATGGGTTTTTTTTTTGTTTTTTTTTTACATTTTATATAACCTTATATGGGTCATTATCCTGTTTCTCTTGGAGGGCGGAGGGGGCTGGTGGTCTATTATTTTTCTAGATAAAGCTCTAACCTACTGTAACCTCAAATATTTTGGGCATATGCTGTCATCCTGAATTATATCTGTCGCCGCCGTCACACGCTGTTTCTGAATGGGAAGACAAACACACAGATAAAGCAGTCGGAAACGGACTGTAAGTGAGCAGCTATCCTCTCCGGGCACAAAATGAAGAAAGCAGAAGGCGACCGCGTTACGCAATAAAGCACACTGCACTATATCTGCCCTCTTGTACTAGTTGTTTATCACCAACACTTTGATGTTTCCTCTAAGACCTAAAAGGGGAAGAGCGGCTACAATATCCCCGTTTAAACCCGTGGATGTATTCTGGCTGCTGGACGCAGAGGGAATATTAAATTCTTGTCACAGAGCTGCAGTCTCAACTAGGTGATGCTTGTTTACCAGCTGGAGAGGAGGGCTGTAAGGACTCCCTCTACAGACACGTTAAAATATGGTCAAGGGGTTGTGGAAAAACATCCCTGGGAATAAGAATAGGCTCATATGAATAAAACAATAACAGCCTAAGAATGAATGAGAAAATAAACGTTTAATTTACCCTCTACCAACTCTGGTTACTATATATTCTTACGTTTTATAATCCACCTCAACTCCTTAAATGACGCAAATGTGGGCTTTATATGTCAGGAACATCTAGTTTGGTATATTTAGATTTTAAAAAAATCCCAAAAATGTTCACAGTAGTCAAATGCTGGATCACAGGACCAGATGTGCTATAAATAAAGCTTACAGTCCTGACTGACTACGCTCAAATGAGTCGGAAGAGGGCAGAGTGATAGTAGGAGGGTTTTCTCCTTCTCTCTCTCCTTTGAACAGAGCCACCTCACTCCAGCATTCATCTCGTTTCCACCAATAAGCCCAATGAGCTGAGTGCGCACCGCCCACTGTCGGTGTGTGTATTTTTTCTTCTCCTTTCCCCTCGTTTTTTTTTTTTAAACCAGAGCTGGATGTGTAGATCGTCACATGTTGTTCTCTCCCCCCCCACCACCACCACCAACTCTCCCCACTCCTCAGTCCGGACACTAGCAGACATGTGTTATTTATTGCTCAGCTTTGGGAGAAGACGAACGCACGCACAACCGGCTCCGGAAATAAAGGATTAAAATAAAGCGCGTCGTTTCTTCAGCAACTCGAGGAAAGGAAAGCATTGTGTCTGATAGCGAAGGACACGAGAATGGCGAGTCCGCCAAACACGGGAGACCAGCCGTTATCGCCCGGTAATACGAACGTGAACAACAGTATCAAGAAATGCGGATATCTAAAGAAGCAGAAACACGGACACAAGCGCTTTTTCGTTTTAAAAGAGCCGAGCGAAGGTTTCCCTGCCCGGCTGGAATACTACGAGAGCGAGAAGAAATGGAAAAACAAATCGGCCCCGAAGAGAGTTATTCCTCTGGACTGCTGTCTCAATATCAACAAGAGAGCGGACGCCAAACACAAATATCTGATTGCTCTGTATACCAAGGACGAGTATTTCGCCGTGGCGGCGGAGAACGAGCAGGAGCAGGAGAGCTGGTACCGGCTGCTGACGGATTTAATGGCAGAGGGGAAAGTGTACGACGGCTCAGCGTCCAACTCTGCGTCCTCGCTGGTTGGCTTCGACGAGGCGAGCTACGGTGTAATAACGCCGGTTTCCGCCGCCTACAAGGAGGTATGGCAAGTCAATCTGAAATCCAAAGGCCTGGGGCAAAGTAGACATTTGACCGGAGTGTACAGGCTCTGTCTCTCCAGCCGGACTATCAGCTTTGTCAAACTGAACTCAGAGGTCGCCTCCGTCATTTTACAGCTGATGAATATCCGGAGGTGCGGCCACTCTGACAGCTTTTTCTTCATTGAGGTCGGTCGATCTGCAGCCACGGGGCCGGGGGAGTTATGGATGCAGGCTGACGACTCTGTGGTGGCGCAAAATATCCACGAGACTATCTTGGAGGCGATGAAAGCCATGAAGGAGCTGTCTGAGTTCCGCCCGCGCAGCAAAAGCCAGTCATCTGGTACGAACCCCATCTCTGTGCCCACACGGCGGCACCTGAACAATCTCCCCCCCAGCCAAACCGGGCTTCCCCGGCGGTCGCGCACTGACAGCATGGCCGCCACCTCTCCCGTGAGCAAATTTTCCTCCTGTCGAATACGCACAGCCAGCGAGGGCGATGGCACCATGACACGCCCAATGTCAGTGACTGGCAGTCCCCTAAGCCCGGGGGTCCACAGGACCCTGCTGAGTAGATCTCACACCATTACAACGCGCCCTTGTCGGACATTTGAATCTTCTTCCCTCCAGCACAGTAAGTCCATGTCTATGCCCCTGTCTCGTTCCCCGCCCATGGCCACCCCTAGCCTAGGGAATCTCTCCTCCTGCCCAGACAGCAGTGCTCCTCGCCCCTCCAGCTGCAGTGCCTCCTTCTCAGGCTCCCCCAGTGATGCTGGTTTTATATCATGTGAGGAGTTTGGCTCCAGCCCGGCAGACGCACGGGACCTGAGGCTACCACTCACCCTCCGTAGCAACACACCCGAGTCTCTCAGAGCTGACACCCCCCCCTCCCGGGACGGCAGTGAGCTTTATGGCTACATGGTGATGGAGCGGCAGAATCAGGATGGTTACCGTCGTTTTCCGGAGCTGGACAAGGCTTATCGAAAGCGCACGTACTCCCTCACTACTCCCCGCCAGCAGAGGGGTCCCACCCAAGTATCTTCAGCCTCCCTGGATGAGTATACTCTTATGAGAGCTACTTACAACAGTGGAAGCCAGTCTTCTCGCAGATGTCACACTGCCTCGCCTAAAGGGACCTATCCTGAAGATTACAGGGATGTTCAGATCAGCACTGGCAGTCTCAAAGGTGACAGTGGCTATATGCCCATGATGCCAGGTGTGGTGCCTCAGACACCAGGGTCCAAGGATGACCCCTACATGCCCATGAGCCCCATGTGTGTTTCTGCTCCAAAGCAGATCATCAACCCCCGTTCACACTCATCTTCAGTGGGGCTGGCCCCATGCACAGAGTCCCCCGGGAGTGTTTCTCTGGAGGACAGTGGCTATATGCGGATGTGGTGCGGAACCAAGATGTCAGTGGAGAGCAGTGATGGAAAACTCACCAATGGAGAGTACCTGAACATGTCTCCTGTTGACCCTCTGGTGTCTTTCACACCTCCAGACTACATCCTCAGTCCCCAAGGAGGAGATCCCCACCCCCAGCAACATCACAGACAGCCTTATTCTTACAGCTCTCTACCACGCTTACTTAAAGGCCAGTTGCAGCGCAACGGGTCCACGGACACAGACCAGTATGTGGTGATGAGTTTACAGAGACAGCGGATAGAAGAGGAGTCCAACTATTGTCCCGTCTCTCCAGGAGACTCTGTCACCAGCAGCTCTCCAGGGACACCAAGCACCCCTTCCTCCGCCCCATCTCCTCTCAGAGTGGCTCGGGCAGATGGAGGTCTGGTACACCGGAATAGGGTGTGTCGGCCCACCCGCCTGGCTCTGGAGTCCCTCAGAACACTACCATGTATGAGCGAACACCCCCTTCCCTCAGAGCCACGCAGCCCCGGAGAGTACATCAACATAGACTTTAGTAGTGCTACCCGTGACCTGCTGGCACCCACAGTGTCAGAGAGCTCTGAGTCCTCTGTGACTTCAATGAGTGCAGAGAAGGGATCCCTGCAACTCTCAGACTATGCTAATGTTGACGTCAGCTCCCCGGGTCACCTTGGCTCTCCATCTGCAGGGTGCCTAAACCACACACCTGAAGTCTTGGCTTGCCCCACGCTGGTGAACGCCCAGGAGAACACACAGGAAGGCGAGGAGGAAAAAAAGGAAAAAAGCATAGAGGGACAGGCAGAGGAGAGGGGGATGGTAGAGGAATATCCTCTCCAACAGCAGGTGAGCCTGGTGTCTCAGTCGGCTCTAGTCAAGGATGACTACACTGAGATGACTTTCAGTGCTCCTGGCCCTGGCCCTGTACCTGCTCTCTGCACCACTGATGCTGCTCCCCTCCCCACCAGCCCCACTGCCTGTGTCCAGAGACTCAGCCTTGAGAACAGCATTGTGGATGGGGTGACCCCTGTGCCACTGGACTCATTTCTCCTGGGGGGTCCTTCGTTATCTGTCACCCTTGTGGATCCACACAGGGGTGCTAAAGTGATCCGGGCCGACCCTCAGGGGCGCCGGCGGCACAGTTCTGAGACCTTCTCCTCCACCACCACTGTCACACCTGTGTGCCCATCCTTTGCCCATGACACCAAACGGCACAGCTCTGCCTCTGTGGAGAATGTATCCCACACTGTTTGCAGCTCTGAGGGACCTGACGAGGACTACGGCAGCAACAGCCCCATGTGCAGGGAGATGTCAGCTGGTTATCAGAATGGACTTAACTACATTGCCTTAAACTTGATGGAGGGAAACCTCGGAGGATGCAGGTTAGGGGACTGTGATGGACTTCTGAGGTTCAAAGCAGCCTGTGGCTGCAAGGGAGACATGAATGGTTTCAACACTAGCCCCTACGCCAGCATGGGATTTAAGGAGACTGCTGCTGCTGTGAAAGGTGAGTGTTTTCATACATGTCACACACATACACACACATACACACACACTCATTCATGCAGTATGTTTTCATTCATGAAGGGAGTGGTGCCAGGGCTTGAGTAGGATAGAGATCCGCCTCAGTGCTACTGTACACTGTGCAGAGATAGGCCACCCGTTGCTAAGCAGCACTTCTGAGCTCATTTTCATTCCAAAGTTGGGAATAAGGATAGTCTTTCAGAGAACATGCTGGAAACACACTGCTTCATTCATTTTGTGTCTTCGTTTGTGTGTCCGCAGTAGAGCCTGTGTGTTAAACACTGGTGGGGTTTTTACCCACTGACTGCTGGCTAAAAGCCGACACACAGTTTGTTTGTTGTTTTTCTGGGCAGCCGTGTTATGCCTTTTCACATTAGCCTAAATATCACACTATTTGCTTGTAGTTTTGTCTTGTGTCTTTGCTTTTCAAATTAGAGGCAAATAAAGCCACTGGCCGGCTCCGCAATGTCGCAAATATACAAAATATAATCAATTTTGTAATCAAATGTAGCAAACGGCGTAAATCAGTTGCGTCCGTTTTACATTCACAGTTAGACCTACATACGTGTGTGTGTGTGTGTGTGTGTGTGTGTGTGTGTGTGTTACAATAACAGTTGTCGGTGTAAACGCAGACAGGAGCCGAGGGAAGGGAAGTTGTTATGAACTGGCTGTTGGGTGTAGGCTGTGTGATGTTTAGATAGGATTAGTCACCTACTCGTCACACCCATGACACATGGACACGTCTTGGGGCTGTTCGATGCTGAGGAGGGCTGTTTGCCTGCAATTTGATCTGCTTCATACTGCATATAGCTATTAGAGCAGCATCACAGGAAAACGAGCGCGATTCCTTCTAAATAAGAGCTCAGGAATAAAAAAAAAAGTCGAGTAAAACAGTGACGGGTGCACAACAACACGACTGTATCCATATCCGGATGCTGCTTTTGCATTCCTTGACTGTAGCTCTCCTTAAAAGGGGAAGAATTAAATGGATTATATATTGCAGGCATCTTATTTTGAAACCCGCTGCTGTTATCTGTTTGTGTGAATGGTCTGCTCTGGTCTCCCCTCAGTGACGCAGTTTTATACCACGTCAGTATTTCAAAACACATCTAGTCTGATCCAGTGACGCAGGCAGTAGTACAGATGATGCGCATGTGGAAGTTGCTAGAAAAACTACATGTATTTGTAGTTCTTTTTTTTTTTAACACGGTGTACTTTAGCTTTTATGAGGCTGGTGTGTGTGTGTGTGTGTGTGTGTGTGTGTGTGTGTGTGTGTGTGTGTGTGTGTGTGTGTGTGTGAATAAGCCATACAATCCTTATGACTAGGTGTCTTTGTGGAAAGGAATAGTTGCTATCAAAATATTACCTTTCACCCCATTTTGTTCACCATTGCATCAGTGGCTTTTCATGCGTCTCTAAATGGCAGGGATTATTTACAGGGATAGATGACCTAGCAGGGGCATGTCAGAAGTTGCTGTTGCTTGAAAAGAAAGTACACAGTGTCGGGATCATCGTGAGTCAGGAGTCAGTGTTCCTGATGGTGAAATACAAGAGTTTAATTGCTGTTTGTGGTTTCACCACCAAGTTGTCTCTCTTTGTCCCTGTCTCTGCTGGCTCTTCATGCTGTGAGCACAGCCAGTGTGGGGCTTGGTGCAAGTCATTGGGTTCCCCAGAAAAACAAGTGAGTCAGTTGTTTATCAATTGTCAGGTACTGGGTTTCAGGACTGGAATGCAGTCAGTGTGCAAAGGTTGCTGGGAGGGGTGAATGCTCACTTGTTTTTCTAACCTGGTGGGATGGACAAGGGGAAATTTTTTTTTGTTACTGTGAGCAACTTCACAAACAAGCCAATGAAACAGTTTTACATAGGAGTGGACGATCGCTAATGTATTTTATGACCGCATAAGACTTTACCAGGCACATGAACATACACCTATTGTGAAGCTCACACTTACTGCCTTGTCACTTCATTATGTCCCGGTGCCTTTGTGTTTCAGAGGACAGAGCCCAAATATTGAAATTTGTACCTCAGTGGAGAGGTTTGGCCAATACTACAAGAGCAGGGGAGGAGGAAAGAGGGAGGTGGAGGAACAATGGTAAAGGATGGATGACTTGTTTTGTTTTTCATGTACAACAACATAGACAATTGACTATTGGCTGAAGGGAGGGGGAGAGAGAGTGAGGGGGAGGACTAGAAGAGTAACAAGGAAAGGGAAAAAAACAAAAGAGAGAGATTGCGATCGGTGTCATTCCAGTAAGAGTTTGTGTCTTGTTATATAAGCCTTTTGTAACAAACAAATGTCCTTGTACATAATAGTGAATGACTCAGCTCTGATCAGGGATGTGACCAGTGTGGCAAGTCATCGATACTCTCATCAAAATACAGAAACACTTCTGTTGCTTGTGTGTGTGTGAGAGAGAGAGAGAGAGAGAGAGAGAAAGAAAGAAAGAAAGAGAAATAGAGAGAGAGAAAAAATGGCATGACTGTTTACTACGAGATGACAGGCTCTACCACATTCTCTCGTTATCCCTGAGTAAACCATAGTTTGCATTCCCTGCAGTACATCAGTTCAAAAACAGGTAGTTTAAGAATTTAAATCACCTGTCCTCATTTGGCATCTGAGAATTAGAGCAGCATAAGGGAGAGTCAGAGAGTGAAGGAAGCGTTGCTCCTCGGCTCAACAAACATGCAAATATGTAAGCGTAACCTTCCTGTCTGTGCGTAGAGGTTTTCATGTGGCTCAGTGAGGAATGGTGGAGTCCGTTAGCTGATAGGTTACACTGTTGTTTGGTTTTTTTGGCCCCGATATGACGTGATGGGGCAGAGGAGGGGGGCTGTTTAGCTTTCAGTGCACGCCTTCTGGCCCTGCCAACAATGTCAGTTTCTTGACCTTTGAACTAGCACTGTGTGTGTGAGAGACTGAGCGAGAGAGAGAGAGACAGGGGGGAGATATTGCCATCAGGGCATTACAAGAAATCCACACACCTCCATCTCTGTTTTCATAACTTTTTACTCCCATTCTTTGGGTGTCCTCATCTCACCTCTCCTTATAGAGTACATCTCTGTGCTTGTTTATCTAATGCTTCTCTCTCTGGCATCCAGTCTTACATGGGTTCAGACTGGGGAGAAGACTGACTTACACTCTCCATGACTTTCATTTGTGCCCCCCTCCACCATCACCCGAACACACACACACATACATTTCCACTTTGTCTGTGTGTCTTCCTGTCCCGTGTGCGTACATATACACAGCGATCAGCAGATGGTGGAGGGGTGGGGTGGGTGTGTTTTTGGGGGGGTGTAAGGGTTTTGCACCTGCCCCGCCAAGCAGTGCTCACTGGTTATCTGGCCCGTCAGAGGAGAGTGACAATACGCTAATGACTGGCTACCATCTGCCACGACAACAACAACAAGGAGAAGCCATATACCAACCGAAAACCCTTCCCCCCTCCTTCCTTCTGCATCCTCCTCCCCTGTTTCTCCTCCTCTTCTCTCCAGGCATTGGTTTCTGTTTTTCAGAAATCATGTGACTCAACTCCCTCCCCCTACACACACACACACACACACACACACACACACACACACACACCTCCACACCGGTGCGTTTGAGCCTTGCATTTTTTTTCTGTTGTTATCTGACCTCTGCGGACTGTCTCTGATCGGCTTTTCACACCAGAGGCCATAGAGGATTGTCTAATGATGCATTAAACAATTAGCTAATCATATCTGATAAGAGCCACTTACGAGACTCACACTCTTCTTGCCACTTGGTTTATCTCACACTGCAAACAATAACAACAGACAGGGCCGCTGGGTTGAAGGATTGATCTGAAATGTATAGATCCGCAACAACTAATAGTTTAGTCAAACAACAGAAAATTAAACAGTACCTATCTCTCTTGTTCCAGCTTCACGAATTTGAGGATATGTTGCTTGTTGTGGGTTTATATCATTGGATTGCTCTGGACTGTTGGTCTGATAAAGCCAACATTTTAGGTTCTGGGCATTTTTACCTATTTCGTGGCATTTTGTAGACAAAGCAGTCAATTAATCCAAAATAATAATAATAGAAATGTCTTTTGTTATGGTGTGTTCATGGGCTGATGAGAAAGTTTGACATCTGAGTAGCTAGTTTGCTAAACAATAACCGCTTTATTTGTCTTTCAGGTTTGATGTGTTTTGACAGCAGTGAGGTTGTGCACAGATCATCATTTATGTATAGTGTTCACTGGAGAAAGTGCATACTCTAGTTAACTAATAGGCTCATTAATCATAGGTCTTCATTTTGCAGCCAAAGAGCCTATTTTAAACCTAGAACATGCCTGTAACAATGCCTGTACTTGATCAGTCATTACACACAGTATTTGGAGGAACACACAGTCTTCGTGCTCACCTGTCCTGTGCACCCCTCCCCTTCAGACACACATACACAGCGCTCCTGGCTGTCTGATACATAACTCTTTGAGTAAAGTAGGGCGGGATGTTCCAGTGCTAGATAAAAACAAAGTCAGCCTACCATATCCTTAATTTAGCTTGGAGGTAAGAAGGATTACATTCACTTTAGGATTAGACATTGTTGAGTAGCTTGTTTTGTCTAGAGGTAGAAGAAGAGATAGAGCTTCTGTGTGTGACGGGAACGCACATGCTATATAGTACTAACACACACACACACACACACACACACACACACACACACACACACACACACACACACACACACAGCAAGTCAGCTCAGTCTAATGGCTGATTAGAAGTTTTTCATTCATGAACAGTCCAGCTCATCATAAACTCTTCTCTATCACTCCGGGCCCCAAGGCTGTGTTAATGCTCCTCCATAGAGGTGTGTAATATAGTTAAGCATAGTATTAGGCAATTGTAATAATGGAGGCAGTGCTAGAATATGTAGCAATGGCTTCTGGATTTGTTTTAACTTGTGGAATCTGAGCATGTTTGGTAGCCTGCAAAATTAATTGATTGGCTGAAAATTAATCAGCTACTATTTTAATTATAATTGATGAGTCATTTTTTTTAAAGCAAAAAAGCCAAACCATTAACGAGTTTCATTTATGAGGATTTGCTGCTTTTCTTTGTCACATGTGATAAGGTAAATTGAACGTCTTTACACTGTTGGTCAGACAAAACAAGTAATTATAATTCTCTGGGATACTGCGATTGGCTTCTTTTACAATTTTACAGGCCAAACGCTTAACCGATAAAGAGAAAACGTAGTTAACAGAGTTAACAGTGGTTGTTGTTGTTGTTGTTGTTGTTGTTTTGTTGGTCGGACAGAGGTGTGGGAGGTCAGAGGTGAAGAGTCAGTCAGCGTTTGTTTGCTGGAGTGCTGCTGTAGATCAGGGAGGAGCCAGCAGGGCAGGAATGTAAACAGAGCACATCTGAGCTTGCTGATCTCTCCCTATCTGTAGGAGGAAGCATGCTCCTAACATCAGCTCTGTCGTTTGCAGAAGATTGTGTGCAGTTGATGATCCTCTTTCTTATCTTGCTGTTCAGAAATACAGTTGGAGTAGTTCCACCTAAAAGCTCATTCATTTCACTGCGCAGCGGCACAGAGTTACTCGGGCAGGCGGTGCAACGACAGGCATGTTTACTATGCTCCTTAAGCACCAGAGAGGAGGCTGCTAATACATGCCTCTGTGTGTGTGTTCTAGCCCTGAATGGAGCATGGCTAAATTTAGCCTGTGAGAACTAAACAGAGCCTGTGTGTGTGTGTGTGTGTGTGTGTGTGTGTGTGTGTGTGTGTGTGTGTGTGTGTGTGTGTGTGTGTGTGTGTGTGTGTGTGTGTGTGTGTGTATATGGGTGGGTGGGTTTGGGACAGGGGGCGCAGACGTGGGTTGTTGGGAGGGGCTGATGGATGTATGTGTGTATGTGCTCAAAAAAGAGGTGGGGTTGGGGCCATTGGGTTCATTCCCCTGCTGGACCTCTGTCCCATTCTCTCAATGCCCCCCCCAAATCTCCCTGCCCACTCACACTTTTCTCTGATCAGCATGTGTTTGAATAGCGGTGTGTGTGGCGGGTCCCTGTACGCCACATTGTTGTATGGCATCATTGTTTATACAATTTTATATATATATATATATATATATATATATATATATATATATATATTTTGTGTTTATGTACATGGTGACACCTGGTTGCTAATCGGACCTGTTAGTGATTCAACTCCCCTTCCCGGCAGATCTCAGTCATTCTCACCCAAGTGTCTGCCTCTACAGGCCACTGGCTGGCCCAACCCCACCAGAAACCCACACACACACACACACTCAGATTGTTATGGACCGTTGGTCCCATGACCTCACTGCATTCCCGCTTCTCTCTGTCAGGTTGATTCTGTTACTGTGGTTTTCCACCACTTCCCACCCCGGTGTTTCTATTTTCTTGTGACTCTGACACCCATGGCAATGAAGAGACCAAGCTCAGCCAGCACAGGTGGCCCCATCAATGATGTTATTTTTCAAATACTCCATAGCACCATATTGTTGTATCTCAGATATCCCTGTGTCTCTATATAAATGCATCAGCCCCTTCAGTGTGTTTTTATTGCTTTCTAATCTAAGTGTTGTGTCAAGTGTCTATAAAGCTTTAGATTTGACATCTGATTTTCTTTTACAGCGTATATGTATAGGGCAAAGAGAGAGAACAGACGTGTGTGTGTGTGTGTTTATGGTGGGAGTAGTTGAGGAGGGGGTAATAGCTAGGACTCTGAATGAAAGGTTTGTTTTAGAGAATGACGATCACATCCAGCTTTGTGAAAACAGCTCTTGTTCGTGGCCGGGGAAGAGGGAGAGGAGACAGCGAATGAGGGAAGAAATGCAGCCGCAGAGACAGACTTTGTGTGTGTGTGTGTGTGTGTGTGTGTGTGTGTGTGTGTGTGTGTGTGTGTGTGTGTGTGTGTGTGTGTGTGTGTGTGTGTGTGTGTGTGTGTGTGTGTGTGTGTGTGTAAGACTTCCGCTCCCATTTGATAGCTCTGCATGCAAATGAAACCTCACAAACAAGTACACCGGGGCAAGGGTCAGCACAGCTTTCCACTGGGAGAAAAGCGACACTCTGAAGACTCTGGGTTTATAGTATGTGAAAATACACAGCTGTGGTGTGTGTGTGGGAGAATGTTTTGTTTATTTGACTTCAGTAGGTGTGCAATCAAGAATACCTAGGTGTGTGTTTGTTGGTGTGTGGGAGTGTTGTTGCTGTCTCTTTTGCCGTCACTGGAGACTGCCCTGTGTCAGCTGCACAGTGCTAAATGCCACTCTGTTTTTCCCCTGCCGTGAAAGCACCTGCCACTTCAGTGTCTACCAGCTGAGGAAAACACACACACACAAAGACACACAAAGGCAGGTCGCTTGAAGAGCTTTTTTTCCTTACTTGGTAACAGAGTGGGGGTATCCTTCTGACCTCCCCCTCTCCTCTATTGCCACGTCCTACGTAATGTATCACCTATACTGTATGGTCACACACTTATATTAAGTTTCTGAAGGGACCGAGAAATTAAATTCAGTTTGATTGAACTTCATGTCTGTAGATCATATGACAACAAACTCATGTTTTTCTTTTTCTTCCTCCTCTTCTTTCAGAATGAAGGCTGATGGGTCCCCCCACACCCCCGTTCCCCTCTCCCTGTTTTTCCTGTGAACGCAGGATTTCGCTGCAGCCAAGTGACAAGGTCGCCACGGCGACAGCTGGACCATGCGCCGCAGTCGATGTCCTTTGACCTCTTTGCCGCCTTCTCGGGTCACAGGGACGGCCATCACCATGGCAACACGGACACTTGACCCTTGCCCCAAATCTTCCCTCCGCTTTTCTAGGCACCAAAACATTCAGGCGCCATCGCTGCTGCTGTACTAGATTACTTAAAAAAAATAACAAGAACTTAAACAGACTATTAACTCTAACTATAGATAGGTAACTATTTATCTCTGTAGGCCTGCAAAACTATCCTGCAGTATATTGTTATGTTAATTATTATTATTGTTGTTACTGCCATTCATACACTTTCAGCTGGTTTTCTTTTGGCTTTAGTCGATAGTTGCCAGATACCCTCACCTGACAACCTGTGAACCAAACCTGGAGAGCATAGTGTGTGCACACACACAGACACACACACGCACACACATACATACACACATACGTGCAACATCCATGCAACATCCATGCATACAGATTACATATATTTATTTATTTATCATCTATGTATGCATTTAATGAAGTGTGTGTGCGTGTGTGTGTGAATTTCTATACAGATTGTACTGCAAAAAGAGGTGGGATTTATGAACATATTAAAAAATCAAAGTTAACATTTGCTTAAAAAAAACCTACCTCAGCAAAAACCAGGTTGGTACCAATTCACACAGTAGAAATATATATAAAATATTTATTTTCACAGGTGAATGTTTTTTAAAATCACCAATCCAAAGCCTTACTCTAGCCATCAGCCCCCTCTGATGGATCTTTTTAGTTTGGACCTATAAACACGCAGTATATCAAAGATTTAACCAATCATCTTATAAACCGAATGTTCATCAGAGCCGAGTGAAAGACAGCCTCTCTGAGATTAAGTTCCTTTTCTCCCCACGTTACATTTATGACAAGATTATGTATTAAAGATCCAGAGTAATATATTTATTAATATGCCTGAGATGGAGGATTCACAGGACTTTAGAGGAATACTTGACATTGCATTGCATCACACGTGCATGCAGGAGTCACACATCCAAGCACTGCAGCATGAACCAACTGGACCTGACCACCAGATCTGTGGCCTGTCTGAGCCCAAGTCTCAGCACCTTTATACACTTTACCTTCTCACCCGCTGTTTACCTGTGATATCCTGCACATCTACACAGCCTGCAGGAAGTTATGACCTGTCACATCAAGGGGCGGTAACATGAATGTTTGAAGTTATTTATACAGAGTAACTGGACAGCTCAGAATCTTACATTTTCTCACCTGATGCCTCATTGCGGAGCTCTGTGACACCACGTGACTGGCTGGGAGGTGAAGGCAGCGCCGAGCAATGTGGCGAATGCATGACGCGGTCTTGACCCGCTGTTCAGTGAGCCGCTCGATTGCTTGAACCCATGGGCCTCTGCTGCCGCTTTGACCAGTGAGAGAGAGAGAGAGAGAGCTAGACGGGACACGCCGGAGCCAATGCATGGTCTTGCACTTACAAACTTTCTAGATTGTAACACAAGACACATTGAATGTAGTACATGCTGTGTTTCGCGCTTGGGAACACACAACCCAACAAACACCACAAAAACTGCAACAACAACAATGAAACATGCAAAGGTACTGAATGGAAACTACGACACACACATACGAACCAGGGGAAGTATCTCTTTATTTATCTGAATTCACTGGTACTTAACCTTTGCCTATATACTGTAAATAGTGCGACGTTACAGAGAATTACATTTAAGCAAACGCTGAGAAACTTTGAGACATGTTAAGTTAAATAACTTATGTTGTTTGTACTGTACATAGTATGTGTTTGAGTGAACTTTCTGATACAACAAAAGCACTAATTAAGTTATATGCTAACCGGTATGGTTTGGCTTTGATTTTCTTTTTAAACTGTCATGGGATAGTCTTGTGAAATGGATGCCACTATGAGGAAACTTTCTAATGCTGTAATTCTGAAAAACGATTTTAAGAGAAATCATTAATACTTGACATAATTCATTCTTGTAACTTAGGTACAACAGAAATGGCATATATGCAATATTTACACTTTTGAAAATTAGTTTACAAAGAGGTACCAAATGTATAAATACTGTTAATAATGTTTGTTAAACCTTAAAATCAGATTTTTTGCTGTTTGTACCTTTTTTTTCCTCCAAATTTGAAATGAAAACTTTTTTCTGTGTGTTTTTTGCTAATCGAGCCTCTTGATGTTTTGAGCAGTGTTTTGCATTTGGATAATGTTTCAAGTTTTTATTAAGCATCTAAAGGTTACGATATGGGCCCTGGCTTATCTTGCTGTGTCTTTCATTGTAAATATTTCATATCTTGCATATTGTGATGCTACTAAGAGATGATAATTTAAACTTAGTTCATTGCTTTAGATTGTATTGATTCTTTATAGACACATGCAATAAATAATGATGTTATTTAAGAAAGCTGTTGGCCTCTGTTTCCATTCACCTCCCTCTCTCCTCCCCGTCACATCACAAACAAGCACTCGCTTTTCATCTTTCATTTGAATAGGCACTCGCCGGAGCAGATGTTTCAATTCAGTGTCCTGCCTCTTTCATTAAGGAAAGCCTCATTAGAAAAGAGAAGACAAATCTTGACTCTCTTTCATTTCCCATGTCCCTCCTTGTTTTTAAAGCCCTGCTCCCTATTGAGAAAGAGTCCATCAAGAATTGGGTGTAGGTCTAGCCTAGCGTTGCCTCCAGCATTAGCATTGTTATTGTTTTTCTGTGCTTGGCTCCCAGTCCCCACCCCCAGCAATAGTAATTAGACCAGCATGTTGGAACAGCCCCTGGAACTGGGAGGGAATAAATAACGCTGTGATAGGATTATGATTTTGCACCCTTAGCCATATGCTGTCAGATTATTCATTCTCACAGCCTTGCTAATTAAAATGGTAATTAATGCTGAGAAATGGGTCTAATTGTCTACTATGGATAGTGGTATGTGTTTGGGTGGTAGGAGGGGTCAGCCTTTAGGTTTGGGACATGTTTCTACTTAAATCCTAAGTATGTGAGTGGTAAAGATGTAGCAAGTCAAAGAGGGGGTGGAGGAGAACAGCTGGAAAGAAGGGGCGGGTTGTAAAGGAATATACAGGTTGACTGATGGACACAATGATAGCCTGAAGGTAGATCTCTTCCATTAAGCAGATTTGTCCCAGCAGCATAAGTAGAAGCTAGGAGGCTAATGAGAGAATAAAATCCTAGAGAGCATAGTGTGACATATTCTGTGTAAACCAAATCTCATCCATCACCGTCCTCGTCATTACTCCTATTCTCCCTCTTGCTCGACTTCCTCCTAAAGTTTAATTAAAAACTAATAGATCTCATTAAATTGTAAAGAAGGGATAAAGAGTAAGCTTCAGGCAATTTCTCTGTCCTCCAGTCTTTACTACTCACAGTCAAAAGACTGACCAGGAGGAAAGGAAGACTGTAATACTGATGTTACTGTATGTTGAAAGAGATAACACATTAGCATAGACTCTACATGGGAGACTGGCACATGCATTCAAGATAAAACCATGCAAATCTCTATTACAGTGAGATAATGCAAACTCAGTGAAGTAGCTTTCCTTTGAATGTTGTCTACATGTCAGCTGGTGTGTGAATGCGTGTGTGAGTGCTAATTTGTGCACGTGACAAAGTGTGAGTGTGTGTTTGTCAGGGAGGTTGGTTGTGCAACTGTAGATAGGTCCATATGAGCAGCATAAAGTAGGTGGATGCCCCAGGGAGTCATCAGCCTTATGGACAGAGACCTGCAGTAGCTCCACAGGAAATGGCATGCTTCCTTAAAGCTGTCTGGGACACCGCTACTACATTAGTGGCCGTGTGTGTGTGCTTTTAAGCTCTAGCGGGCTCTGTGGGCAATTGTGGATGCCCCCCACAACAATCAGTCTTCAGATGGTTTGTGGGACCGGCTTTGGCCAACGTGTAGCATGTTTTCTGCATTATAATGGGCATGAGTGCATTAGAGAGAAAGAGGTTACCTTGGACACTGATAAAGTACTGTAAGCATACACAAGCCTGTGTATATTCTTCCTTACAATAGATTACTAAAAAAAAACAAAAAAACTTTACCATTGTGATCTCCATGAGGCAAGACTTTATACACTTACACACTGTGATAACCGAAATCTTGCAATTTCATTGAATGTCACACTCTCAATCTTGGTCGCAATCTATGGCACACCTTACAATTCTAATTGTGAGGCATGTCAGATTGTGTGACGAATGCTTAGTGAACTGCTACAATGTAAATAGAAAGAGGAAAAAACACATTGTCTTTTCTGACACTCAGGTTTAGGGGAGTAATGGATTACATGTACCTGAGCTACGTAACCAGGTTACAAAAAAATCCATTAAACCATTACAGTTACAGAAAAAAGATGTAATCAGATTCCAGTTACATTTAGTAAAATTTGGATTATTTGGCAGATTACTATTTTAAAATACAATACATACCGAGGACACATTTTTCAAATTCTTTTCAGGTTGTCCGCTTGTCTTATAGAATACCCTTCCATCAATAATTATTTTCTCTTGTATTTATTTACTTATTTGGTGTTAAGGTAATCCAAAAGTAATGGAAAATAATCAAGTTACTTTACTTTAATATTTTGATACTAGGATTAAGTTACTGACTACATTTACGTTTTGAAGTAACCCTCCCAACAGCCTGAAATTTGACGCTGTTTTTGGCTCTAAACCATTGTGAGACGTGTCCATGAGTGAGATGTTGTTTTAGATTGAAGACAAAAGATTTCCCCATGTTTCTCTTACGAATATCTTACAATTGATTGGGTAGCCTAAAGTCACAATGCATAGAGGCTTTTTGCCTGTTAGTGGTGTTGATGATCTGGGAAGAGCATATAGGTGATGTTTTTGAGCACAAGTTTGAACTTGGCCTTCTACAAATAAACACTGCTGGGGATGGTAAAATACTTGATGTTCTCTGTATTTTATTTACCCAGCCTTTTAACGTCATTCTTGAAGACACAGATAGTGATCTTAGTTTGCTGGAGATGGGACTGGCTGAAATTCATACTACAGAAGGAGTCTAATGCAGAATAAAATATGTTCCTTCTCTGATCACAAGCTGAGTATTTGACCTGCAGATGTGGTCTGGTGCTGCTCAGATTCATCTATATTCAGATTCCAGATATTTGCCACAGATCCAACAAGCAGGAATGCAAACACTTCTGCATACAGAAATGTTTTCGCCATATTTGTATATACACTGCATGGGAGAGAAGGGATGACAGGTTCACAAGAGAGCGAGAGAGGGCACATACTCTGAGGCGAAATCATTTTACTGTGTGTGTGTGTGTGTGTGTGTGTGTGTGTGTGTGTGTGTGTGTGTGTGTGTGTGTGTGTGTGTGTGTGTGTGTGTGTGTGTAACAGCTCCTTTGTTAACTTTGGGCAAGTTAAAAGCAATACGTGCAGGTCTTCCAGGCTTTTAGGAGAGCTAACTCCTCTGTTGTCTTCAAGTTCCCCCGACCCTGAAATTATGATTCTCAAGAAATGAGTCAGTATGGAAGTCCCAGTTGGGTCTGACCCAGCATGTATTTCAGAGGAATGTGTGTGTGGGAGCGCCTGTTGCTAACTTGCATGTATTAGTGTGTGTGTGTATGTGTGTTTCTAAGCATATGCATGTGTGTTTGGTCAGCCAGTTCAGCAGACATTCCCAGCTGTTTTCCAGGTAGTGTTCTCACGCTTCTTGTGCATCTCCTGTTTCTCACACTGGCTGCTTTGACTGTAATCCCTACCAACACAACACAAACACACACACACACACAATACATACACACACACACACTGTCCCGCCTCTTTACCTGGCCACCAGGTGAACAAAAAGCCACCTCACACACTCATGCATACACCCTTCCTGTTTCTGATGATAGAGAGGCAGTCACAATAAAGACAGGACACGGGAAAATAAGCACACTCACATACACACACACACACACGTGCACATACATACACAATGAGAGGGAAAATGAGACAAGTAAGAGGTGAAGAGGGAGAAACAGGAAGAGGCAGGTAAGAGAGATAGAAAGACAAAGAGAGAATGGGGGAGGTGGAGATGGGATGTGGGAATGTGCGGGAACCAACAGGATGAGCTCATGCTCTCTCTCCTGGCCCGGCCCACCCTGCGTGACTCATACTTGGCAGGTGCGTCTGCATGTGTGTTTACAGCTGCAGGTCAGCTCAGGGTGTGTCCTCATTACACTGCTGGGGAACATGTTTCCTCAAGCACAGGTAGAGCTGTTCATCACACCAGCTTTTTTATTACCACACTGCTTGGCTTAATCAAAGTGACTACAGAAATATTGGCTTTTAAACACAAATTATCTGGAACATAAATTTAGAAAACAGTAGCTCCGTTGAGTGTATGATGTAAGGGTTACAAATTTGGAAACTCTCGCAGACCCTTGAAAGTAACCGCATCCTCCCTGGGACCACAGTATGAGGGATATTTTTTTTAGGAGTGGGCCCCTGCTAGAAGTCTTCTGCTAACCTCACTGCTTTTGCCTCAAAGTGATGGATGTGGTTGGTGGAGACAACACACGACCTGCAGACAGCCAGCAGCTCCTTAGAAGGAAACGCCATCTACTTCTTTGGCTACAGAGTGTCAGTGAGCTGCATGTGTGTATTTCATTCTGTGATCATGTGTGCATGTGTTCAAGGTGGTGAGGAAACTAGATTTTTTAGAAAATTAGTTGGAGCTCTGGAAAACCCACAACTTAGAAATCACCTCTGTCAAACTATCTGGTAAATAAAAATCCTTTTTGGTTCAGGTGGTGAAAAAAGTACACTCTTCATGGACATCCCAACCTGCCCATATTTCACTCTCTCAGCACAGAATAACAAGGTCTTACCTAAGAGTGGAATGTCAATGTGGTCTGGCACATTTAGTGTTTAGATCTTAAAGCGGGTTAGGACAGAGGCGTGGGGACTAATCTCATGCATCTCAAAATAAAATATCTGAAAAGGTCACAGTTAAACTCCTTTTGTGTGGTTTGTATCAGTGTGCATCAATGTGTGTATACATGATTGTATATTGTGATATCAGAAAGAATACAAGCATGCCTGACTTGATGGATATGTGAGTTAAGTCAAATATCCGAAAGACAAGAGCAGGAAACAAATAATAGTTTCTTCAATGTAAGTCCTCTGGACATTACTTCTGTAATGAGACACACTTATTCATAGAGTATTGGTTTCCGGTTAAAATCAAGGTGAAACTGAGACTTTTCTGGCATTAACCATTAGCAGTGATAATGAGTCATTTAGGTCACAGTTCCCATTTCAGAAATGCGTACAGTGTTTCAGGATGAAACCTGCTCCAGTGGAACCAGTGTCTTTTTCTTTTTGCTGAACAGTGGCCACTTACAGGACAATGATACATCAGATTTATCCACATTTCCCAAGATTCTCTTTCATGGCAGTCTTCTAACATGACTGAAAGAGAGTTAAATTAAACCACAAACATGCATTCTGCTGAGGTACAATATGACTTTTGTGATAAAACCAATACAATTTTAAAAATTTTATTTTTTAAGTTAGCAAACTGACTTTAGTAATATCTGTTACATAGCAATTACATCACATTAGCTAACAGCCACGATACGCTATTGCTCATATCAATATCTTTTGGGGGCCAATGTTTGGTAACACTAACGGTAGCCGCTGTAAATTGTTGGTCAAGCCAGATCAAGTAAGGCTGTAGCAGCAAAATTCTTCAGTGTTTTAAATTAAGTAAGTGCAAGTATAGCTTATGAATTAAACTTTTAATTTGTAAGAGAAAGAATGTACATATTCTCACTTTAAAGGTCCAGTGTGTAACATTTAGGGGGATATATTGGATCTATTCATAGGTCTGTAGTGTACCTGAAAATGAGAATGAGACCTTTTCATTAATGTTTTTATCTCCAGATGCTGCAGATCTCCTTCTGTGGTTGCCGCCATGTTGAACCCCATGTTTCTACAGTAGCTCAAAACAGAAAAGCAACTGTCTCTAGCACTGTAGTTTCTCCTTCATGTTTGGAAGGGGAGGGGGGAGTGAGGGGGACGCAATCTGCAATTATATCACTAGATGCCACTAAATTTTAGACATTGGTCATTTATGTATCGACAAAACAATGTAAAACCTGTAGCTAAAAGAAAAACACAGTTGAAACTAGGTGTAGAACCACCATAGAGACACAAGAAACCCATTTATGGTTCCATTTCAGTGCCATGACAAATATTTAACAGACCCACAAATGAGATTCATTAAAAGGCGGATTTTTTGTCTTTTCTTTATTCCACAATTTAGAGTCGAGTGAGGTTCACACTAGTCGAGAAAGCAACAGTGGAGTAATTGCCATTGTCAGCTTAAGGTTTGACAGCTTCATGTCCAACCACACAGCAGAGCTGAGAATACTGTTGTGTCAAGTGTCAAAACCTTACAGGAGATAACCTTTTGGGAAGAACAAACTAAGTCAATTGCAACTATTGTTACATAGTATTTAGGTGAATTAATAACTGTACACTTTGCAGTGGAACAGTTAGCTACTTATCCAGATGGATCTCAGGGTCTCAAATTTATTCATTGTATTTCAGAAAAACTGAAAAATCTGAAAATGATTTATTTTAGACCCATAGATCTGTAGACATGAAATAAATGTTAACATATTTATCTCCTGGTGTTGGTCCGTATAATCACTCCGCTCTTCATTCATCTCTTTTTACCTTACCTGTTCATAAAATGTATTTGTCATCTTAACTGATGATCACAAATGTTTCAGTTCCTCTAATCTCTGTGTTGCCTCTGTATCTCCATTTTTCTTTATCTCTGATAATGTTCTGAATTCTCAGGGCTCATGTCTTATCTTGGCCACTCTCTGTATGACGCACAGAGCCGAGCAAGGACATGCAGTTTCTATGCTACACTGAGACAACGTCCTCGAATCGCCAATCTCAGATTGACTCTTTTCAAATGTTTCTATATTTGAAAGTGATGGTTGTGAATAAGAGATTTAAGGACAATGCCACCATTGCTTACATTCTCATTTTGAGTTATGACGTTTCTGGTCACAAAAGACATATTCAGCTCCTACCAGGGCCTGAATTGGACCAAAAACTCTCCTAATTCAGCACAACCCTAACCCTAACCACAACAAAACCCTAACCCTGATTCTTTCCGTATATTCTGTTCATTGTAACAAGGACATTTTCAGCACTCTTTTCTTGGCATTAAGCTAGCTGTGTGTTCACACAAAGACACTGTTCCTATGTGTTATATTTTTCCCATCAAAATTCTGCTCTGCCTCTAACTGGCTCTGACCCTAAAGATGTTTTTCTAACCCGAACCATTTCACGCCTAATGCCTAAACCTAACCAACCAACCAACAAACACTAGCCAGAGGTATAATAGAGCGGGTCTATGTGGAATGCAGGTGGTGAAAAAAATTCAAGCATTACGTGGGTGTTTAGGGGTGCATAGTCTACTCATCAGGAGGTGGGGGTTTGCAATAAGAGTAAGTAAGGGTACCCGTGGACAAAAATTAGAAGTGCCGGTGCTAAATCCTGGAGATTACCAGCCCACTTCAGCCCCTTACATAAGGTCATTTGTCTGTGAAAGAGATTCTTATACAAAAATACTCAAGCAAGTGATAAACAGGATAGGTGAATGGGTGCGGAAAACAGAGCTTGTAGGAGTGGGAGGAGAAGTGATGGGGGATGGGATTCTCATTTGGGAATTACCACGTTATTATACTAATGATGGAGGGTGGTAGTGGTGAACGGAAGATAAATAAATAATTAGGGAAGCAACATAAGGCCTCTTCTTTTCAAGGTAAAGTAAGAAAAACAGAGAAGCCGAGAAAAAAGAGAAAAAGTATTCATAAAACAGAGGCATGGATTGATTTCCCCACACAACTATTAAATTCATTGATAATATTAACAAAATGGGATTTGAGATACAAAGGATTTCCTTGTCTGGCTTGTCCTGTATCAGTGTAATGAAAGCTGTTTTCCATCATTGAGATCACACAGCAGGTTTACTGAGCGCTCCAAAGACATTGACACTGTGTGGAAGTGGGCCATCAGTTTCCTTCAATCACCCTAATGTGGAGGACTGTGGGGCTGACAGCCATCTATAGCCGAGTGATACCCCTCCCCCTGAGTGCTAATAAACAAACACACAGCCTCCCCCGGAGTCCCCCAGGTGGTCTCAGTCAACACATTGAATGGAGCATCACTCAATGATGGATCAAAAGAAAGGCCGTCCGCTCATCGCTCATCTTCTCTTCCCCCGTCCTCCCGGCTATCCTCTCCTCCACTCCTTTTCCCTACCGCTCTTTGATCCACCTTTTCTCGTTTAGCCCCCCTCTCATCCATCTTGGGTGTTCCTGTCCCGCTCTCAGCTCCAGACGGGCCGAGGGGTTCTAGACCTCATCCCTCACCCTCCTCTCCCTGCTGGGACAAATAGGTCCCTGTGCGCCCCTGTTGAAGGATGAGCCTCTTACACATACAACCACTTTTTTCTTTTGCTAATTCCCGTGTCTTGCTCTCTCATGCATGAAGTCTCCCATTCAGATACATAAAAACTACACTCCCATTTTCTATACAAATACATTTTTTTGTGTAATATATGAACTACAAAATTCATCTCCACCATAAAAGGTATTTACTCAAGGTAAGTAATAGTTTTCCTGTGGCACTACACACTGTTTCAAATTATTTCAACCATGACTCTATTTGCTATTTACTTTACAAAGTAGGATATGTGACACATGGATGACCCTGTGTGTCTCAAATGTTGTCACACCAAAGTGAAAGTGTTTCACAATCTGGAAGAAACATATTGCAGAATTTATCTTCACTGCATCTTTGAGCACCAGGCAGAATGCTGAAGTCATTATAAGAGCCAGCACAGCACTGTTCCTGTGTCTGCATGGGTACATGTGACTGTAACTGTAGCTCGGTAACTTGTCGAGGGCCCTGATACCAAACAAACTTCAGTTTGAACAAGATGATGCTGTAAAGTTTGGCTTTTCTTTGTGTTGCACTTGCATTTTCAGCTTGTAACTTTGGCTTGACAGAAACAAAGGAAATAGGAGCTATTCGACATGCTGAATCAGCCGCTAAAGAGGGCCAACTAGAATCAACAGGACTGGACGTACTGCAAAAACTAGAGGCAACCGTCGACCACAAAAGACGCACCTTGTCTCACACCCAGGGGAAGGACTGGTAGAAGTGGCATGTGTTAAGGTGTCAGCATGCTTCAACAGAGTGCTTATCGGGATGATCAACCAGAATCTGGCATCCATTCCCAGCACACCTTTCTAACTTCGGAATAGAGGAGTCTGTATCCAACTATTTTAGTTGCTTTCCCAAACGGACACCTGATTGGCCAGGTGTGTGGAGCCAGGAGTACGCAAGCAGGGTTTCAGCTTCTCTCTCAAGCTCTTTTTTAAAATTCTTGACACAATTACTTTAATCAATTTACGTATGTGCAACACCATGAATGCCTTTGAGTAACAACTGTCTGGATGTGTGTGCTGTTATGCACCCATATTTAAACGATTAACGTATCCCTCCCCTTTCTGTAACAGCGGGCTTTGAGCCTGAGCGTGGCTGTTACAGCTGACTTCAATGTAGGCGTGGTGTAGTAAGAGTACATTAAGCTGTACATTAAATAAGAGGGACTGGCAGCAGCACAGTTTAGACTACCAGCCCAAATGTTATGTAAATGTTGGCCTGGCCTGAGCACAGAGCATCATAAAAGCTGTAATGAAAACCAGAGACAGAGAGAGAGAGTAGGGCAGTGAAAAGCAACACAGCTCCCATCCCAACTCCAACCACACTGAGGAGAATTCACTACCTTCCTCGAGCATGATAGGGTTTTCTCCCTCTGAGCACTAGCAGAGCAACAACACATTCCTGTCCACATTCCAGCCTCAGGAAAAACAGTGTCCGGAACATAATAAAAGGCCAAGCACGTCATTTGTTTTTAAATCCACTTGCTCGCTTGGAACAAAGCTGAGCTGAGGGCAGGATTGGGCAAATGTGTTTGTGCATAGGATAGAAAGAGACAGTGAAAGGGATGTGTTTGTGTTTACAGGAACCTGTGTGTGTGAGTGTTTTCTGTTTTTCTCTGTGGTCACAATAGCGTGATGAGCTAACCCTTCCACGACCAAAAGTATACCACACTGTCCAGCCACATGACCTGAAATACAAATTAAGTGAAAAAAGCATTGGATACACACTCTGATTAGCTCATATCTCCAGTTGTACAGCCTGTCACATTATATGTTTTCATTTGCACCATTCCTCTCCTCTGCCTGTAGTTATTGGCATTTTGTCCAACATTTCATTTCTCTTGTGCACTCCAGGTCACAGGAAAATCCCCAGGTACACCATGACCTTGTTTGGGCAACCTGCACTCTCAGGTATCTGCTGTTCAAACATAAGCAGTGGACAACGGCACACAAAGACGGATAGACACGCGCACATATGGAGCTATACACACAATAATTATCATCGGACAGCTGATAAGAGGAGTGCTGGACATTTTGGCGCTGTCCAAGTCTCAGTCTGTCTAACAGCAGTGGCAGGTTGAAGGTCAGGCCAGTTTTAATGGAGTGTTTCGGCCATGGTGTATCCTTTGTCAGAGAGTCTCTTGACCTCCACATCCTGCCTGGAACAATATCACTTTCACTCCCCATCCCCTAAGCAAGCCATCACTCTCCAAGCATGACCGTGACCGATTTTGGTGCGGAAGCCTCTGTGTTGACATTTCCCTTCATTCATTCCTATATTTGTCTTTTAATCCATCCAGTCCACTACATTTGCCACAACCCCCAAAACTCTCAATTTCTAAATGTCTCGAGGTTGTGCGGTAACTGATACAGAGAGCTTCTGTCCAGTCAATCCATAATGCTGTTGACCTCATCCTGTCCTCCTCTACGTCTGTTGCTCCCCGCACCGCAGATCCCATCAGCTCATCAGGAAGCTAATAATCTCCTTCCTGTATTTGACACAGAACGTGGTGGCCAGCGGCATCCATGTGTGAAGGGGGCGCATGCGTGTGCGCATGAAGACTCGTCCGCAAAACAAAAACAAAAAGAAAAACCACCAACAACAAAATTAATAATAGTAAGCGAAAACTTAAATCAAAAATGTTTTTTATTACTTGAGTCCACCTCTTAACTTATGCTTCTTTCTCCATCTTATCACCCATGACCTGCTTTAGAAAACTGTCTGAAGTATCTTAGTGAACGTTCTGTTTTATTATAAATGTCCAGGAATGAAGCATAATTTATGTGAAGTTGTTAACATTATATAATGAAACATCCTATTTTGGGGCTGTATCTACTAATTTAATTGCCCTACGATGTGCAGTAAATTAGGAAATACCCCCCAAAATGGAATGTTTCATTATGCAACTAAACATGAATTATACTTCATGCATGAACCAACTTGCCCGAGCTGTTTTAGGAATCACTCAACCTTTTTCTAAAAGGAAATGTCCTGTAAAAATGTACTTCTTAGTAGATCTTAGATAAAAGTAACAAGTACGTCAGTTAAAATGTCCTCAGTGTAGCCTTACTACAATTAACCAGAAAATAAGACAAAATTACCTATGCTAAATAAAAAGTGGACACCACACATTTTCAACAAGCATTATCAGTCTACATAAATTAATCTCTGTCCCACTACAACCAGTTCACTCAGCCTCTCTGTCCCAATGTGCTCCTCAGAGTTTCCAAACATTATGAGCTGAAGGAGACTCTGCAGTCACATCAGGGTCTATTATCAGAAACAGCAGCGAGATCTCACATACATCACCAGAAATTGGAGGAAATGTCACAAACATTTTGCCATTTATCCAGACTCAGCATGGACCTGATGGCCACGCAACATTGTGGGTATGTTAGATTTTTTTTTCACTTGTTTCACTAATGCAGAGGTACAATAAAGCTACATAACATGCAATATGAACTCTCATTCTAGTTTTCCATTCAATATCGCTCAAGGTAGGACTGCTTGTTAGCTTGTGACCCTCAAGGCATGTCTTTTCCAACATTTTCATTGGTGATACTGATATAAACCTTCTGTATAAGTGGGTTGAGGCATATCTTTAAAGATTTATGTTTTTAGCAGGGACAATGGTTGACTTGCATTGTTGGTTGGTAGTAAGCAAAATACAGAATAGCTGTATTAGCTGTAACAGCAAAATAAAGACCACTATCCTATTGTTAGTGATCTCACACAGATATCCTACACAGGAAACATCAAAGGGCCAAAGTTTAACAACCCACCAATAAACCAGCAGTTCTTACAGCCTGCTTTCATATGACCCAATATCACACCACCACTCTGTTAGGACTTGAGGGACCAATAACTTGTGTCATTAATGACCACTGCTTATCCTGCCTCTTGACCTGGACTTCTCTCGTAAAAAGAGGAAGGAAAAAAGTGTGCCCCAACCACCCACAACCCCTTCTCCACAATCCAATCATTGACTAACCTTCAACCTTCTTCTTTTCAGTGCTTTACCACGTGCACGCACAAACACATGCACATTAGGTTACAGTAGGCCAAATGTTGCTTTTATTGATAATGCCACTTGTCTTGGTAACAGATATTGCTACTTGATGGTAACAACAAGAGAATATGATGTGTTAAAAACGCAATGAGTAATGAATTGCTCTTTATGTGTCTTTCTGAGTCTGTCGCTTTCCCTTACTCCCCTTCTGTCTCACCCTTCTTCTTGTTTTCCCTGTAGTGGTCTTGATGTTGTAATCCACACCTGGACAGGCGCCAAGCATATCTGCAGACACCTGCGTCAGACCGACTGAGAAAAACAAGAGTGAAAAGAACAGATCCCACCCCTTCATCCCTCTCTGTCTCCCTCTGTTTGTCTGTTTCACCCCCTACTCTCTGTGAGTTTCAATAGGTCATGTGACTTCCTTCCTGTTGTTTTGACCCTGGGTTCAGTCTGCCTCAGGGTCAGTGTACCTCCCCCTTTGCTTATTAAACACAATCTTAAAATCTCAGTGTCTTTTGCTGCCCCTCTTTCTTACACACACTACCACATGTACAGAAAGGCAGAGCAGGAGAGACAGAGGGAGAGAGGTGGGCCTCTGCTGAATCTGATTGAACTTTAGAAGAACTCAACGACCATGCTCTACTCCTCTTTATGGTGCTCTCCAGCTGACCTTTCTGTCTGTAGAGGACGGCAGACGGTGGGGGGTTGGGTGCTGGTCTCCTGTTATGGCTGACTCAAATAAAGAACACCCTGTTTGGGGTCCAAACATTGAATGTTGGATAAAAATTACTATTCATATCTGTCAGTCGGAATAGGTACATCTCATCTTCCTCAGCCTAGACTAGATCACGAATGTTGTGCACATTATTCATCTCAACATCAGTTGTTTAAGGCAACCATTATTTTTGCCTTTCAAATGAGTAGTAGGTGTTGAGGTCAGCTCAAACAATCAAATCCAAGGTCATCAGTACATAAAGTGCACCCAGAATCCCTCTGTATTTTAACGTGTTATCTCCTGAATTATCAAAGGTCCTGCTATCTCACAGTTTTCCCACAGCGGCAGGCTTCTGCTCCTATCTGTACGCCATTCACAACACTTTGCCGATTCAGAACAGGCGTCAGAGGGCCCACAGTGGATCCAGTGTGTTGTCATGGTTACAGATAAGGTTGTGCGTTATCACTCTCTTCAGATATGGAAAGCACATGACCATGAATTTTAGTACAATTGGTTTATGTGTGTATGTGTACACAGTGGCAGCGTCACCGACTGCATGAACAGAATTCTTGAAGAGGAAAAAAAAGACATTCATGCAGAATTATACTTACTGAACACTGAGCTCATAGTCACATCAAAAAAAGTTATCAGTCAGTGTGTATGAAAACATCTTGGCATTTATCAGCAGAAACTTGCCAATGATGAACTGGTATTTGCTCTGAGGGAGGAACACTCTGTCCTGCTCTATGTTTAATCCTTGTGTGTGTGTGTGTGTGTGTGTGTGTGTGTGTGTGTGTGTGTGTGTTTGTGTGTGTGTGTGTGTGTGTGTGTGTGTGTGTGTGTGTGCGTGTGTGTGTGTGTGTGTGCGTGCATGGCAATTGCTTTTCACCCCATCTACTTCAGCTGACTGAGAGAAAGGTGTGTTCTCCACGCTGCTTTGACAGCTCTGGGGAACATAAGGTGCTAACAGTCCAAATTAAACCCGCCTTCAGCTGTGTAACGTTCTGTTCTCAACCTGGGAACAATGAGCCCCCTGGCACAGTGGCAAACATAAGTTTGAATGCTTCAAAACCAGGCAGATTATCCAAGTAGAGCAAGGTGACCTACTGGTTTCATGTCAGCCATTTGTGAAGCAAGAAGAGTTGAGGGGATGACTTTCTCCTTATAAATACTAAGGGTGTGTGCTACTAATCATAGATGATGGAAATGCAGACAATGATAGAGAAAGAAACAGAGAAAAATAAGCCATTTTCAGAAATGTGTAACACTGCTGGATGTGAAAGTAATGCGTTTAGGGCTTTCAAATGTGTCAGTTATGTAAATGTAAATGTTCTGCAATAACTTAATGCAAACATGACTGAAACTGCAAAGTGAGAAAACACAACCAAATACAGAAACAGTACAAAAACAGATAACACTAATTGTGCAGAACACAATGTGGAAACAAGGAAGTTTCCAGGGGGACACTAAAAAGTGATGAACATGCCCGGACCTACCTGGGACATGTTATTTGTTGCCATGGTTTGTGGCTTGTGACGTTACTGCCTTTTATTATCCGTCAGTGGTGTTAGAAAATGTTTTCTACGTTTTAACATTCTGATTGTATGGTTCATATGTTATTTCAGATATTTGCTGTTAAAGGTTCTATATGTAACTTTCAGAAAACCATTGTTAATAGCAACACCAGTTGCACTACAGTCAGCACCTTGTTGCTCGTGCTCGCGCCATAAATTTAAATATTAAAAAAATAATTAGGATAATATAAAATCTGGCTAGTAGAAAACAATTGTTTGCCCATTTATTCTTGACTAAAATCAACACTGTCATGTAATGCAAGTATCATGGATCATGTTAGCTGGTGAAGTAAATTTACATGCTAACCAGGCCTGTGAGTCTGGATGAAACTAGCTGGAAGTATTTTGCTACGATAGGTCTGTCTCTTCTACTTTTATGGAAAAGTTACTTAGATGCTTATTCAAACATGAGGCCGAAGTGTACAATTACCAGCACATTTACGTAAGGAAGTGTGTGTGTCTGAGAGGGGCTGTAGTACTGCATGCAAACACTGCAAACATTTTAATGCTTTTAGGAATGTGGCTATGGGCCCAGAAACCATGTTTTGAGAGCACAAGGTGTTCAGCCTACTTGAGGGTTATGTAGTTGAAGGTGGAGGAGCGATCGAATGAGCGGTTGGGCTCTGCTGTGTGAGAGCAGGTCTCTTTTAGCACTGCGTACACACTTGACTGCAGTCAGTCATGAACCAGCAAACACTAGCTTCAACACCACGATCTGTGTCTGTCATTCTCTCTTCATACTCACCTTTAAACCTCTGGGACAGGATGCAATTTGTTAACTCATTATAATACCACTCAATTCTGAATGACTTATTTCTAGGAACTGAACAAAATAACACCTCTGACATAAGTGTTTGTTTGTTACGGACATAGAGGCTTTAGTGGTACAGCGTAACAACTTTGGATATATTTTGTACGCATTTGGTTCATGTAACTGTTAAGAGAGGTCTAGGAGAAAGGGAGGTAACATAGGACCAATGTACTCAGGCCATTGATTGCAATTTTATAAGAATGGAAGACCTCATCTTAATAACCTTTTAATGAGTATGTAAGGATAAATGTAAGGATAAGTAATCTATGAGGGAAAAATAGAAATAAAAAGCTATCTCTGTTCATAAAGCATGTGAATAATAATAATAGTGAATAATCTTTGTAACAATCATCTCAACATTTTACAGGCAAGCCATTTTATAAACCATGTCCTGATGTTAAAATCAGAAAATGCCTATATAGGTTGTTTTGGAAGGCAATGACAATATACGTATTTTGACATTTAGTTTGAAGGACTTATGTGCCTCTATATCGAAAACAGCAACAGCATAATAAGTTAAATTGTGACTGCCTGCTAGTTACACAGCTTAGGTTCCCTAACTGACATTTATTAATACTTCCCTTTTGGGTACCTTGTAAACATTACACCAATAACATAAATGTGCTGTCCATGGCAACCATGGCAAAGCACAAAAATAGGCAAATCATAGTAAACCCTATTTCTAAGTTGGCTTCACAGAAATCCTGTTTGTTATCCTATGTTGTGCACTGTGGTTCAGAAGTTGTCAAAATGTCTAGAAACAAAGAGACACTCTTAGACAATTAGACAAATAATGTTTAACAATTATTTTATTGTCTCTTTCTGAGCTATTTCACACAAATAGTGAGCCTCAGGGCTTCAAATATGAAATATTTCAAATTAACAGGAAGTAAACCTCTCAAAGGTCATAAAATGAGTACACAATGATTGTACACTGTAGATCTGAAATGTGATTTTCACATTTTTATTCTGCTCCCAACCCCCCATCTTGAATCCCTACCAGATGGGTTGCAACCTCCATGTGGAGAGCCAGTGATGTAAAGTGCAACAGTTTAATTCAAGCACACTCATAAATGCTCAGCACCAGTGGATTTATCCATCTTTGTATTATGTTTCGTAATAATTGTTGTACAGAGATAATACGGCAAATCCAACAAGTATTTAATCCTAAAGCCCTTTTCCTATACCAATACCCTAAAGAGCAGGCATCAAATGGCGACAGAAAGCAGATGACAGAGGATTGGGTAGAGCTTGTGTGTGTGTGTGTGTGTGTGTGTGTGTGTGTGTGTCTTTGCATGTGTCGCCTGCCTGTTTGTAACAGAAGAGCCTTGTGCTATGCCGGCTGTATACTAATACACAGATCTAGTGGGGGATATGCTGATTAGGATCACACCACTCTGATGGGATGAGGAGAAGAGAACCATGAACTGGGAGGACTTGGAGTAGAATGGTGCCAATACTGAAACACACCTCACACAAAAAAAAACTGTTAATGGATGGAAGCCTGGATGACCACACGGACAAAAAGAATACACTTTTAGTTGCACGGCCACTGTGCCGTATTGTATGCAAATATTGGGCTAATACGCTAAAAGTGTCAAGGGAGTTGTGAACGTTTACTGGTGTTAATGTGGATAGCCATATTTGTTCTCGTGAGCACATTAAAGGTTGGGGTGTTCTGGTGGTCTTCCATTCTAACATATAACAATAATTCAGTAGTAATTCAAATTCAGAGAAGTTTTGCATGTCTGCTCATTTGTCCGTGTCTCTCCCCAACGAACGAAGGCATAATCCTGTAAGAATAAGGTTTAGAAAAATCTAATTGGAAGCTACAATGATACATTTTGATCAAATAAAAACCAACCAACATCTTGATTATTGCCAAAGTAGTAATTTCAATTGCTTCTAAGCTGCCCCACCTATTAATTAAAACTGAACCTATTATTTAAACCATGTCACACAAAATATTCCATATTTATGGAGCTTGTTATGAGCTACACATTAATAAATTGTACACACATGTGTAGTGTCTCCCATTTTCACACATAACCAACAGTACTGATTTATGCGTATGCGTGAGTGCGTACATGTGTGTCTTTGGGTGCTTGTCAGGTCTTAACCCTTCATTTTCTTGACAGACAACAAATGCAGATGTCCTCTAGGTGAGTCATGGGTAAAGTAGGATGGACCAAGCAGCTCATTGTAGCACCATTCAGCACACATGAAGAGGATCCAGCCATGCTAATTACATTACTTACACCTCTTAAATAGGGCAATTATGAGATTTAATTGGTTGGTGAATGGTTGATTAGATAGTTAACCAATGCTTGATTAAAAATGTGCCACAGCAACTATCAATTGCTGATTGCCATTCATACTTGGGGGAGGGTAGGCATGATGGGAACTCA